CGGTTGCGTTTTAAATACGACAGATTTCAAATGTATCATATTAGTTTATTTTTTGATGACGTATCACACATGGGGGGTCACTATTTAAACCTGGGGCGCAGGGGGTTGGAAGGGGTGCGTCGCCAACTATGTCATTGTGATTCCCCCTCCGAATTACCGAAACGGATTTTGATTTTTTTAAATATCTCGTTTATTTACTAAGATATGGGGGGGTGGTAAGTTTTCAAATTGTCACCCTGTATATTGAGAATTGAGATATGCCACACTGTATAAAATTACACTCGAAAATTGTTATAAAAAAAACCAACACAAACAACATCGCTCATTAATTAAGTCACCAGGACAACTCCGGGTACGCCCTTGCACCACAAACAAGATCACTCCTTGGTTACGTTACTGGGAAATTACCTTCACGAAGGCCTTTTTCGCCGTGGTAATTCCAGAGCACGATCTTGCACCACAAAACAAGGTCACTCTTTAGTTACGTCACCAAGGCCATGACTTGCATCACTACTGATAAATCGGGGAGGGGAGAGGGGTAAAGGTCTCCTACCGGGGGAATAAGGTGTCTCATTTCAACTCGTAATTATTTGAACTATAGCTTGTCTAGATTTAAATAAATAAATTAAAAGTTTTTAATCTGCGCGATGAATATTTATTTGGCTTACTGAAGTGTCAATTGTTTTTAATTTAAAATATGTACAACACGCATGAATTTTTTCTGTTGATGGTGAAGAGTTCAACGAATCAAGACAGAAGCTGCACAAATACGAATCTCTTGACTTCACCCTGGTTGAAATGTGAAACATAACCTTTAACATTACTCACTCACAGGTGATTAGATTGTATTACCAATAACAAGTAACAAAATCCTTCATCTGGAAAACGGTAAAAAATTATGTTCTATAGATTTATTTTAGAATTTAACATAGAATCAAAAATCGAATAAAATACATGGTCTCCCATTTAGAATTTTCGAGTTGGGGACTGTCGAGGGAGTTGGGGACTGTCGAGGGGGCTGTGGACCACTTTTGGAATACCTTGTATAATACTACCAGATTTTAAAAATTGTGCTTAGGCCAACCACTTTTTGTATAAACTTATTTTTGCACAAAAAAATGAGTTAGAGGAGGGGTTAAAATATAGTGAATAACTCGGTACCTTACTCCACTCCGCTGTAAGTGCGTATCTACACATCAATTAATATAAATCACTTTCTTGTTGCGTTGCGATCATATTGTGCTTTAATTTGTAAATAAGTCAACCATTATGAGTCGACACATACATAACATAATTTGTCGCTTTCGTTACGGAATATGACATCCATTTAAGCGTTTTGGTTCTATATGATTAATGTTGTAAGCTAGATAAAGTAAATAGGTTCAATAATTCGATTTCATGAATGGAACAGCACGGTTAAAACAGATTGACGATCGTGCGACAAGTGAGTTTCACTTTTACGAGATTACCTTTATAGTTTTTCAATTAACATTCAAATTATGAACGTATCAAAGAACAATTGATGAAGAAAGTTAAGAAACCTACCCGTAATAAATTCAATCTGGGTCAAGCTTAATTGTTTGTATCATTAAGATTAGAGAATATAAGATTGATTATTTTTGATTTCATCTTTTATGCTTAATGCGATTAAGTTTCTAACGCTTCTGCGTCCAATATAAATTATAAACACGGTCGATGATTGGAGAAGTACGCTCGATATACTTCAACATGAATTTTTATTCGGCAACTAATCAATAATTATCCGGAAGGAAAGTTCGGTCGTGAACATTAGGAGCACGAACATGTCATTTTGAATAACTCGTCAAAATTAGCCATGGAGTGCTTAATCAAGCATTAACGAGGGAATAGACAAGAAAACAATAACTAAACGCATAGTGTTTCATCACTGGATTAATTAGATTGAGATTCTCATAACGTTCTGTACACATGAGTGCCACATTTCACGCTCCTAGTTAAAAAAATCCTATACGGAAGTAACGCGGAAGTTTAGCATTTATATTTCAACACTTTGACAGAAATAACAATCTATTGTTAAGGTCGAATGATCAATTGTTTACGACCACAAACTAAGAATAAGCAAAAAGTTGTCATGTTTATCTAACGGTAAATAAAATGAAAGTGAATTTAATTTCAAGTTCCAATTGACATTTATAAAGTCGGGTATTCATTTCGTTTCTCACAATGGTAGAAATCATTGGGGCCAAACATACAAAGGGCGTAATGTGGGTGCTTCCATCCAAATTTGATTTCGTATTACAGAAAGTTCTAGTCCCGTATTGTGGAATGCTAATTACTTTAAAAATTCACAATAAGGACTAAATAAAAATTTCATTCAAGCAAATTAAAGCTAGTTCCTATACAGTTGACAATAGCAGAGAAAGTTAATGCATACAAATCATTCTCAATATCGTATGCACGTATAGGAGCAGAGAGTAACTAAATTAAAAATTCGTTTTTGTCATTTGCAATATTTTAATTTGCGACGAAAACCCAGATACATATTTATGAGAATAGTACACGTTGAAATAAATACAGGGTGTCCCAGATCAAGTTGGAACTTTGTTATTATTGAAGATAAAGATTATGTTAAATGAGTTAAAAATGGTTTAGAAAAATTGAATGCAATAAAAGTGTTACGAAGTTACGACGCTCATTTCCAAAAAAACAAATATCATCAAGTTATAAAAAAAGTTTATGATGAAAGTTTCTCGTTTTGATAATGACATTTTCAAAATGTTGTTTTGCGCATGCGCAATGCCAACTTTCTTATTTATGAAGGCATTTAAACGAAATATCATATGTAGGCACCTTGAATGAAACTAAAACTAATACCGGATTTAAAATTACTGTTCACGCATGCTGTATGTTTTATTTATGAAAGTATTGTATGTATTTGTATACGCTCCACTATTTTTCATTAAACTGTATAGACTTCGACGATAGGCGGCTCATTTGAAAGAGAATGGGGTAAGGATCTCGTGCCTACCGGTATTTTTTCGTGGTCCTAGCATTAATATTATTAGGAGGAAAATACGCTCTCGTTTGCATAATGACTTTTTAAACTTGTTTCTCTTTGACCATTGGAAAGTGAGTCTCTCAGAGAATAAGTGACCAAATTTTCATCAACTTGTTACTTTTTGCTAGGCGCTCTGACTACAGTAGAGCTTTTTTTTAAAATTTTATTTTCAACGATGTAACATCCATGATTGAACAAGGAATACTAGCACAATTAACTATTTTTACATTTGGATTAAGCAGACTTGGTTACTTTTTAAATTACTCTAACAATTAACTTTTCTTTAGTGGGTCACAGGCTACCATTCACTTTTAGCCATCTGATGAAATATTGTACAATTCCATACCATCCATAAATTGGACAAAATGGGCACACATAAAGAATTTTTTGAAAACTTGCAAAATTTCCCCTACAACTGGTCAAAAAGTCGGAGAAAGCCCAAGGTCAAGACCTTGTGAATTAACTGGAGAATTCACAGGGTCATGATTTTGTCACGTGGACGGGGCAATAATAAAATCGCGGAAAAGTAAGCGGGACAGAAAGAATATGACGGAAAACAGCGGGGCAAAACAAAAATGGCGGAAAAGTAAGAGGGGCCAAGGGGCGGAGCTTATGACAAAAAGTGGTGTTGCGAGGTATCCGTCTTCTACTCAGATACAAAATTTAAAATGCGATGCAATAATGAGCGTTTTTTGTTTATACGTTTGTTTATACACTAACTATTTCACCATGGACTAACTCCAGTAAGTTCTGCCCAAAAAAATTATTTTTTCTGCAAACATCAAAAAAACCTAACATTTTCTGACGAACTTCAAAAATCGAAGTACTAGATTTTTAAACAGTCCCCGAAAACGCGAAAACAGTGAAAAAAAGTGTATCGCGCACGGACAAATTTATACCTAAACAACAAATTTAATGAGTAATCAGTTCAGTTGTAGAAAAAATGTATATAACATTCGCGCTCGTTATACAGGGTGTTACATGTGAAATTAGATCACTCACTAGTAGGCGGGGGACACTTTGTAACTCGAAGGCCCAATCTTCAAATGAGTATAACTTTTGATTGAAGTTATTTTAAAAAACTTGACTATTATGTACTCGTACAACAAATTTCGTGGAATTCTCTCCATTTTCGTTGTCCGGCCAAGAATTGCAGTGGAACTTTTTTTTTCGAATTTTCAAAAACTAATTTCAGATTCGTCATTTTCATGTTCAAAAACCCCCAGATAGCAAATTTCGTTGAGTTCAGAATTTTTGTTCGCACCCTCAAACAGGGGTGTGCCCTTTCGGGGTAGAAATTAAAAATTTTTTTTTCCAAAATCGGATAGGGCATACCCGAAAATCTATTCAAAGACGTGCCACCCATCTTTGTAACTCTTATGAATGCTGAGAAAAAAATTAAAGAAGAAATCCAAATTTCACCACTTCTTTGGGGGTGGGTCCCAAACGAAACACGTTGAACCATCGGTTTATTTGGAAAAAGTGTTTGTCTTGATCCCCTCTATCACCCAATTTTTTTTGCATGCGGTCATGTACCTGTGTGTACAATTTGCGCCCTAACAATCGTGTGACAGAAAAATCGCAAGGGCGCGCACCCAGTTCCCGAGTAGCATATCATTTTAAAGCCCATGCAATTCTCTTTTTACCGTGGTAAGTACTGCCTTACATAAAAAGACGCTCGTGGTAATATTTTATGCATAACTTTCGTAAGTGTTTATTAGCACTACCTGCCGCGTTGGAAATTGAATGTAATGATGATGAGTCGAGAATTTACACTTAAACTTACGTATCAATCAATTGTTTAGAAGGCATAATTCCAAATCACAGTTTATATTCGAATTAATTAAAAAAGAAAGAAACGCCACATCGTAAATTATTAATGCACTTTGAATTTCGTGCCACTACTATTTTTTACAGATTTGAAAAAAAGTTTTAACGGTCATTCATGTATGATTTCACTTACCTAGATCTATAAGCAGATTGGTCACAAAGAAAATCATCTTACCTGAAACAGGAAATTTAGTTATTAGTTCTATTGCATACAAACAATAAGAGGAATGAATGAGAATGTAAGTACGTAATTCCAACAGAAATACTTAGTTGTAAATTCACAGAAAATGTCACTTGACAAGAAGAACACAGTACATCCTTTTCGCCATTTTCACGGATAACATTAGTAGATAAGTGAAAAGGTAGAAACACACTTTCTAAAGTTAATGTGCAATTGAAATAATTAGAATCTCTCTGAGAATTAAATCTAATTAAAGATGCCAATTACTTAATGAATAATAATTATTAAATACTCTTATGCAATTGCACTGCAACGTGTAGGTACGCTTATAAATTTTGAAAAGTAAAAGCGTAGCTGCTTTTAATTTAACGGAATTTGAAAATCGTGTTTTATCAAATGAAAGTAGATTTAAAGATGCTAAGTAATGAAATTTGACGTAACATCCTAATGTTTCTGTATCTGCCAAGTTTTTAGAGTGTTAGTTCAAAAATCTGTATAACTTTATTGGGGTATTTTTTTATTTACTCTAAAAGAAGTTTGAAGAAAAGATGGTTTCTATTTTACTCTGTGAACTAGAATACCGGTTTTAGAAAAAAATAGGTTAACGTGTCGCCGACTGAGAGATATGCAAAATTTTAAATTCCTTATTAGGAAGATTCATAAAAAACCGAGTAAAGAACGACATGGTGAAGCGAACGCTATCATTTATTCCATGGTACCCGCTTTCAGAGCGTTGTTATCTAAAGATCTAGATCTAGATTATTTCCGGAACGGAGAGTCCGGTTGAGGATGGGGCGCATCTCGTGCAGAACTGTCATTTTTCCTTTGAAAATACTTTTTACCGGCAGTGGCGACAGTCCGCATTTAAAGTCTCGGCTATAGAAGTGTTCTCTTAAAATGTAAATAAGCATTGCAAAAAATTTTTAATAAAAACGGTTTTACCTCGAGATCGTTTATAATTTTGTCTGTCGGTCTGTGTGCACGATAACTTTGCATAGAAACGTCCGATCGCTTTGCAAATTGATACACATGTTCTTCGGGGATATATGAAAGGTCGCCATTGTTTTTTGGCTACGTAGACTAACGGGCTAAAAAATTACCGCCCAAAAACTACCCAAACCTCCAAAAAGGGTTTCTCTTATAACCGAGCTTATGACTCTTGTTACAAATAACAATGTCCGATTTTCTGTGTTAATAAATATTTCTTAAACTTCAGGCAACTATGCAGATGCAAAAAAATATTACGCATGCGCATTACTACTTTTATATTTGCGCAATCCCAATTTTTTTATTTGTTACGATATTTAATGGAAATTTTGTATGTAGGCACCTCGAATAAAAGTAAAACTAATGCCGAATCAAAAATAGTATATTGTTTTATAAGGAGTAAAAGTGTAACTTTTTGTGGCAAGTCTGAATGTTTGACGGCCGAACGTAGTGAGGCCGACAATTTCAGACGCGCCACAAAAAGTGCTTTTACTCCGAATAAAACATACAATTTTTTCCGCAAACGCTGTTCAAACGATAGAATTAAGGGAGTATTCCCAAAAAGATTGCAGCGCAGCTGTTCAATGTTGAAAAATTTAAAACTAGATTGCTGTGGTTTGCGGTTGTTATGGTGGAAGAAAATTTTGACAATTCAACAAATTAATTATCAGGAACATTCAAAGTCCATTTGAACTGTGCGTTTTTGGTAAGTACCCGAGTATCAACTAAAGTAGTAAAAGATATTGACCAATTTTTTTTTTGCAGGTTACATATTATGTCGGATTCCGAACTTAACTGTACGCCGCCAGACGTTCTTGCAATTGCCAAGACAGCTACGAACGATTTAATTCCAACGAAGTCAAGTAGAGTTTATAATCATGCTTATGAAAGATTTCTCACATGGTGCAAAAAAGTACTTTTTTGTACGCTCACGGCCGGACAAAAAAGTGAAGTCTGTGAAATCAAACTTCAACATTAAGAACTGACGTTAATAAAGTCGTCATTTTTTTACGTTTGCGGAAAAAATTTGTTTTGCGTATGCGCAGTCGGTTTTTTAAATTTGTTAAGATTTTTAAATGAAATTTTGTATGGTGGCACCTCGAATAAAAGGAAAACTGATACCGATAGTTGTGAACCGAATTGCATGAAATTTTGTATGTAGGCACCTCCAATAAAAGCCATGCTGATATGGTGGGGCGCTCATGCATTTATCTTACATTGGAACATACCATTTTGCATGCAAGAGTGTTTCCCTATGTTCCATTTTAAAAAAAAACGCATCAACCTATAGGATATGTGCGGTTCACAACTATACACACGTGTTGGATAATGTGCGGTCACAACTGAACCAGCCTTTAATTATTTGTTCTTCACGATACTGGACTGCAAGTAAATCGCGTACTTGTCTTGCACTGTTGTGACCTTTATATAAATTTATAATTTCAATTGTCATCTCTTTAGACACCATTTTTGAAATGTATCTGCAGGGCGGTAGATTTGAAGGTGACAGTTGTACATTGCACCTACTACCCATTTGAACTACTTACTCCTATTAGGTTAACGCTTTTTTTAAATGGAACATAGTGAACTAACATTGCATGCAACGTCGTATGTTCCAGTTTAAGATAAACGCACTATATAAAAATACGCTTTGCCCTATCGAGTGCGCGGCTTTAACACTTTTGCGCGCATTTCTCCAAAGAAATGGACACATATCCAAAAATCGGAGTAAAAGTTTAAAATCCATATACCAGTATCTTTGCTAAAATTTACAAATACATACTCTCCTTCTTTCCACATCTACAGAATTACAGGATACCTAAAAAACTGGGAGGAGGACATATATCTGTCCCTCATATTAAATAATGCAGGTTGTTCTGCGTTCTGGATAATTGTTATCACCACGAGTAATTTTCTTTGTTAGTGTTAGTTAAATTGTATAAAATTTACAAGTGTTTTCTTTGTGTTAAATTTTATTCTTTTAAGATTTTTTTATAAAATGGACAAGTGTGATTAAAAGTTAATGTGTTGGTCCATTTTGTTTACAAGCATGTGCGACAAGGGAACGTCTTACCAAAGTGATGAAGTGTTAACGCGTTCACATAAAAGGTGTTTGAAGAAAGAAAATTGATTAAAATTAAGAAATAAGTGCATTGAAGAACCAATAATCAAGAGGCTAACTTCTAAATTTAACAAAAGAACACGTGGAGATGTTTTTCTGTTTTTTTCTCTGTGTATGAGTAACATGTGTTTCGGGGTAGAATAAATTTAGTAATAGGTAATTTTGGGAATATAAAGAAGTGTTTGTTAAAATAAAGCAATTAAACTTAGTGTTAAAGTCTAGTTATTTTGACCAGGCATTTTTGTGACCAAAAACGACATCACAGATTCATATCTTTTGATAAGAAATAGCCGTGACATTTACACATTTCTGTTCTTTTATGTAGGTCATACTAAGCATCTAGGTGAGTCACCGTATGTTATGTTTGGTTCTCGATGGCATACTTAAACTGTCGTTTCTGGAATTTTTCGCGCAGATCTCTGGGTGCATTTTGTATTTTTACTTGCTTTTCCGGAATTCATTCGTTCTACGACGAGCAAACACGCTTTGAATCAAGCAGTTTAAAACGTGAAAAAGTATGTGGTTCTAATTGCACCATTCAAATAGCATAACTCCGGTGATTGAACGTATGTTTTTGCGGATTTCCATTTAGTTCGACGGGTTTTCTGCAATTTTCTCTATTTGTATCGACTTATGCAGCCGCTGCCTTCCCAGCTTCGCTGGATCCTTTTTTGAGGCAAAAGTGTGCAGAGAATTAGAAAAATAGTTATTTTTCTACAACTGTCAAAAAAACCTGTCATTTTCTGACGAATTTTGAAGCGCGAAGTACTAGATTTTTAAACGGTTAATGAATAAGTAAGGTTGCCCTTCACAACGTGCGCGAAATCGTCAACAGTGAAAAAAAGTATTTCGCGCACGTGACAAAGTTGAACTTAAACAGCAAATTTAATTAACAATCGGTTCAGTTGTAGAAAAAATATTGTATATAAAGCTAGCGCGAAGTTATAAATAACTATTATATAACAAGAGCGCGAAGTTCAATTTCGCGCATTGAGACTGAAGGTATTTTGGCGAGGCGAAGCCGAGTTAAAATATCAGTCAAATGTGCGAAATAACTTCGCGCTAGCGTTACATACAATATTTTTTCTACAACTGAACAGGTAGTTAATTAAATTTGCTGTTTAAGTTCAACTTCGTCACGTGCGCGAAATACTTTTTTTTACTGTTGACGATTTCGCGCACGTTGTCAAGAGCTTATTAATTAACCGTTTAAAAATCTAGTACTTCGCGTTTCGAAGTTCGTCAGAAAATGACAGGTTTTTTTGACAGTTGTAGAAAAAAGAACAAAAAGATCTGTAGAAGACTGTAAAAAGCATAAGACCATAAATCCATAAGAAATGCATTGTAAACTTCGAGGCAAAAATGCAAGGTTGAGTCCTAAATGAAATATCATTTAGTATCACTGGTTTTGTAATTTTTTTCTCTATCGAGTGATGTAAAAATGCAATATGGCGTCCATTTAAAATAAGGACGTCAATGGAGATGTCAATACCGTCATTTTGGAAAAAATTTTTCTACACTCATTGAATTTATCCCATCGAATCTTGTAACTTTTATTTGAAACTTTTTTCGATAGCTCTCTTTGTTACTAAAATATTTAAACTTTTTGAAAATGGGGATTTTCACTTTTTTCCAATTATCTACGAACAGATTTATTTTTTAAAAATATCGCATCAAAATATCCATCAGTATCAAAAACTACACAACTTTGCCAATTTAACCGAATCTGTAAGTATAATATGTAGTAACAAAGCTAGCCATGTTATCCTACTTAATTTATGACACCCTGTATACGATGTTTTGAAGCATTTTGTGTACAATAGTTTCAGGGGATGATTTATTGGGGTTGAACTGCATAAGCGAGACGAATTGGGGTTAGATGAGG